CACACACACACACACACACACACACTTTGGGCTTATTGGAGATAAGAGCCTCGTGGACTTTGCTGCCCCGGGGTTGGCTTCAAACCAAGGTCTTCAGTTCTCAGGCTCCTGAGTAACCAGGGTCACAGGTGTGAGTCTCTGGTGCTGGCCTTCCCACATTTTGTTTTATAAAGACAAGTGTCTGGCCTTATCTGGGACTTAAGATCCTGCCTCAACCTCCCAGTTCTGAGATTGCAGGTGTGAACCACCACCACAGTTCACTTTTGCTGCTGCTGGACAGCAAAAGAGGGGCGGGGCCGTCCTGGGTTGGAGGGAGGGGAGCTGGAATCTTGTCCCTCAGTAGCCCCCTCCAGCCTGCAGCCTGCAAAACCCATCTCTGAAATTGACCCACAATTCCATTCGTGCCAGCATCTGGAAAGAACAGTAGGAAAATTCCCAACCAGCTAACACAGGGCCAGGGCAGGGGGGCTTTCTCACCCTGCTCTATGTGAACTTATATGTATTAAATCACTCGTTTGCAACAAAATTTCTCTGAGGTAGGTGCCACACATGAATTCCCCCCATTTATCGGCTCAAGAATTTGTTTGGGGGTTGATGTAGTCAGTGTTAGAGTGCCCTGGGTTAGATCCCCAGAACAAGAAAAAAAGGAGGGAGAGAAGGAAGAGAAGGAGAAAGAAGAGGAGAAGGAGGAGGAGAAGGGAAGAAAGAAGGAAAGAAGGAAGGAAGGAAGGCAGGCAGGGAGGGAGGGAGGGAGGGAGAGAGGGAGGGAAAGAGGGAGGGAGGAAGGGAGGGAAGATTGAGGGTCTCCTATTCATTGGGCATTACCATTTCCTAGTTGTATACTGGATTCACAGATGAAGACACTGAGACACAGAGTCTGAGAGCGCTGCCCAGGCTCACAAGGATAAAGAGTGACAGCATCCGGGCTCTCAACCAACCATTACAGTGACTTGGATAGGGGAGTGGATTCCTGGGAAAGTGAGCTAGAGCTGCTGGGCTTGGCAGAAAAGGAGCAAGAAGGCACTGCAGGCATGGCTTACGTGGTAGAGCACTTCCCTAGCTTGTGCAAGGCCTTGGGTTCAGTCCCTAGTGCCAACAACAAAAACAACAACAAAGAACAGGGAGCAGAAGGGGTGTGCCTCTGAACCTCAGCCTTGCTCAACCTGGGCGAGGGAGCCTGGGAGGAAGAGATCACCATCCACTGGAAAGCCTAGGTGGCTGCGAGGAATGGAAGGGGTTAATGGGAAGGGTCTCTGTCCAGAGCTCTGGTGCTGAAAGTTCCCACGGACTTGCCAGAGTCCAGGGCCGAATAGGAGGTGAGAGCTGGGATCTGCACTTGTAGTGCTAAGTGGAGCAGCTCTTGGTCTTGGGGCGGGGAGGGGGAGTCTATCACACACACACACACACACACACACAGCACACACAGCACACCTGACAGTACACACCCACACTCAGCGGGAAGGAGTGGCCCAGCAACACACCACCAGCCGAGAAAGAAGGCTTCCACGGTAGTAAAGTGGACAGGTAAGGGCCGCTGTCCAGGTGAGCAAGGGAGAAGGAGCAGCTGGCTGCTGGAGGGATCATGGGAGCCAGGGACAAACAGGGAAAACACTGAGGCTTTTACCTGGGCAGGGATCGAGTGACAGGCAGGTACCCAGAGTGTGGCCAGCAGGCTGGATGGGGAGGAGGTCGAATTTGCCTTAAGGGACACTGTGGACCAGGAAAAGAGAGAGGATCATTTATAGAAATCCAGAAAAGAAGGCCAAGTGTTAGTTTTCCATTTGTTCCAGAAGAGAACAATGGAAGGGATGAATAATGCCCAGGGTGACCATGGGAAAATGAGCCACCCCCTGCTCTGTAGAACACCTCAGCCCCACCCTGAAGGAAGAATGTCCCAAGAGGGCCAAAGGGGAGAGCTGCCCATATTGAGTGCCCCAAGATCAGGCCTAAGCAAGTGGTAACAACGTGGTTGGTTGGTTTAAATGAAAAACTGGGGAGCATGAGGAGGTGGCAAGAGACATTCTGAAGATGGAGGCTAGTGTCCCCAGGCTGTGCTGCGAATTCATGGGACAGCTAGGAATAGGGGCAACTCATGGCATCTGTGCTCAGCCCAACCTCTCCTGTGCACGTGGCAGACATTGCAAATCCATCCCAGAACATGTAATATTATGATATGTGTTAGGGAAAATAAATAAATAAGACCATTAGAGCTAAAGGAAGGTCTACTAGTCCTTTCCTGGAAGAAAACTACTGTAGCTTCTAGATCTTTCCAAAGCCATCTTATATACACTCCTGCATCCCCATGACAAAGTATTACTTCAGATCTACTGCATTCTTTCCCACCCAGTCCAGACTCAACCTCAGGATCCACCTTGGCACATACAGTGCTGGCAGCAATCCTAGTTCACTAATCAATCAGAGTCAAAGAAGACATCCATTTATCCTCCAAGACCTCAGGAGCAGAATTCCACCTGGAAGTTAGCAGGGGTGAAAAGCCAGCCTTAGAAATGGTCCCATGAGCACCAGTGGCTCATGCCTATAATTCTAGCTGCTCAGGAAACTGGTATCTGAGGATCATGGTTGAAAGCCAGCCCAGGCAGGAAAGTCTGTGAGATGCTTATCTCTAATTAACCAAGAGAAAATCAGAAGTAGCACTGTGGATCAAAGTGGTAGAGTGCTAGCCTTGAGCAAAAAGAGCTCAGGGACAGTGCCTAGGCCTCAAGTTCAAGCCCATGACTGACAGAAAAAAAAAAAAAGATAAGGCAGTCTGCAGATACCACTGGCTCCTTGGGCAAATGTCACTGTCCTACTCTACACTGAGTCAGGAAGTGAGGGAGCCCATCTAGGAGTGGGGTGGTCTAAGAGGCTCTCAAGCAGATCAAAACAATCCCTTAGAAAGCTGGGCACTAGGGGCTCACCTGTCATCGAAGCCACTCAGGAGGCTGAGGTTTGAGGATCACAGTTCAAAGCCAGCCTGGGCAGGAAAAGTTCATAAGACTCTTGCTCCAATTAACCACCAGAAAAGCTGGAAGTAGAGATGTGATTCAAGTGGTAGAGCCCTGGCCTTGAGTGGAAAAAGCTAAGAGATAGTGCCCAGGCCTTGAATTCAAGTGTGTGTACTAGTGTGTACTAGAAGCACACACACACACACACACACACACACACACACACACTTAGGTCTATGGGCAACACAAAGCATTTCCCTGTCTCCTGTTCTGATTTTCTTTTATCTTCTTTTTTCTCTTTTGCTAGTACTGAGGCTTGAACTTGGGACCAAGGGCAAGGCACTGTCCCTTTGCTTTTTTTTTTTTTTTGTCAGTTGTGGGGCTTGAACTCTGGGCCTGAGCACTGTCCTCAGCTCTTTAGCTCAAGGCTAGCCCTCTACCACTTGAGCCATAGCACCACTTCCGGTTTTCTGGGTGGTTTATTGGAGATAAGAATCTCACAGACTTTTCCTGCCCAGGCTGGCTTTGAACCGAGATCCTCAGATCTCAGCCTCCTGAGTAGCTTGGATTACAGGCATGAGCCACCAGTGCCTGGCTTTCCCTTTGCTTTTTTGCTCAAAGCTAGCACTCTACCACTTGAATTACCACTCCACCTCTGCTAATTAATCTGAGATAAGAATCTGGATCCTCAGATCTCAGCCTCCTGAGTGGCTGGGATTACAGGCGTGAGCCATTGGCTCCTGGTGCGTCTGCTGTTCTCTGTGACCCTCTATGGGCAACCAGAAGAGGTGGCCTTGAACCCCGGAAGTCATGCAGAGCCCTTTCTCTCTCACCAGTGGCTGCTGAGATTCCACATGTGTCCTCTCAGGAAGCACAGTCAACAGAGGCATCCCCAGCCCCCAAGGACCAAGGGGACACAGGAGCCAAGGAGACAGGAGCCCCAGGGCTGCCCAGAGAGAAGTCTTGGCTGGCTCGCCATTTCTCACTGCTGCTTCGACGGGACCGGCAGGCCCAGAAGGCTGGACAGCTCTTCTCCGGGCTCCTGGCGCTCAACGTGGTGTTCCTGGGCGGGGCCTTCATCTGCAGTATGATCTTCAACAATGTGGCCGTCACTCTGGGCGACGTGTGGATCCTGCTAGCTGTCCTGAAGGTCCTCTCCGTCCTTTGGCTCCTCTACTACATGGCCAGCACTGTGCGGCGGCCCCATGCCGTGCTCTATCGAGACCCCCATGCGGGACCGATTTGGGTGCGAGGTGAGCGTGGCTGGAGAGGGCTGGGGCGGGAGAGCTGGCCTGAGGACAGGTGCCAATGCCCGCCCGCGCCCGCCAGGCTCCCTGGTGCTCTTTGGCAGCTGTACCATCTGCCTCAACGTCTTCCGCATGGGCTACGACGTGAGCCACAGCCACTGCAAGTCCGAGCTGGAGCTCCTCTTCCCCGCCATCGAGATTGTCTTCATGGCCATCCAGGTGACAGGCTTCCCTGACCCCCATGCCACCAGGGGGCACGAGCTGCCCACCCCAGCCACACCCACGGCCCCACACACCACAGCCCCCTCTAAACACCCACTTCCTGGGCCCACACCCCTTGTCTGCCCCCTGTACACCATTCTACTCACATCTGCCCCTGCTTATTTGCATATATCTACATATGCATCTATACAGATGCATATGCATATACAGATAGCCAAACCTCCTTTCCAAAGTCACACATCTCTGCAATGCACCAGATCCTGTGTCTGGTATTTCCCCAAGCAGTGGACATTTCAGCTCCTTTTCAGAGCTTGAGCCAACTGAGGCTCAAAACTTCTCTGCTAATGGCCCAGTACCACACAGCAAGGAAAATAAAAGACTGAGGCTCAATTCCGACCCTGGCCTCCGCACAGGGTCTTCTGTTGCAAATACACACAAGCAACTTGAGTGTGTACACACACACACACACACACACACCTACAGCCCCCCACCAGTCCCTGGGCTCAAGGCCCTGTCTCTTTCAGACCTGGGTCCTCTGGAAACACTGTAAGGACTGTGTGCAGGTGCAGACCAATCTCACCAGGTAAGACTCGTCTCCCTCCCGAACCTCCCGGCCTCTCCAGACAAGGGGCCCCTGCGGCTGTGGCTTAGTCTTCAGGTGGCCCCAGGGGCTGCCTCGCCCATGCCTTTGAGACCCAGCACTTGCCCCAGTATCCGTCAACGGTAAGGATGGGAGGGGGGGGGGACAGGACAAGGGAAGCCTGGCCAGCTGTGGGAATGAGCCGCGTGGCCCTTCCTCCAGGTGTGGCCTCATGCTGACCCTGGCCACAAACCTGCTGCTGTGGGTACTGGCTGTGACCAACGACTCCATGCACCGTGAAATCGAGGCGGAGCTCAGCGCCCTCATGAAGAAGCTGTCAGGTAGACAGGTGGGGTAGGGGCAGCCTTTTACACACACACACACACACACAGATGCAAATACACTCCCCCAAACTGCAGGTGCCCAGAGAGTTATACAGAGCTGGGAGCAAACTCTAGAGGCCTGATTACATCAGCAGAAGCAGTCAACTGCCCACAGTCCCTTCGTGAGCCATCAGGGGGCTGGCGGCCTGCAGCCCCACATGGCAGTCAGCAGGCAGCCACAAATCCTGGCTGAGCTCCCAGAGGAGTCCCTCCCACAGGAGCCCCACCCACTTCATTTGCATATTTTTTGCCAGAACATAAAGGCGGCTTTGGGCCTGAAAGAATGCTGCCCAATACAATTCTAGCTGCCTAGAAGAATGAGCAAAGCCTGAAAACTGAGGGTTAGAAAATCTTCCCAAGACAGGCGCCAGTGGCTCATGCCTGTAATCTTAGCTGCCCAGGAGGCTGAGATAGGAGGATCACAGTTAAATTCAGCCAGGGCGGGCAAGTCCATGAGACTCTTCTCTCCAATTAATCACAGAAAAAGCGGAAAGTGGCGCTGTGGCTCAAGTGGCAGAGTGCTAGCCTTGAGCAAAAAGCAGCTCAGGGACAGTGGCCCAGGCCCTGAGTTCAAGTCCCGGGACTGGCCAAAACAAACAAACTGAGGGACAGCCTATGTCCAGGCCCTGAGTTCAAGCCCAAGGACCAGCACCAAATGAATCGATACATACATACATACAGCTAGCTCCGCCTCTTCCAGCGCTCACAGGCTCCAGATGGACTTGAGAGTGATTGGTTCCCCTGGGTGCCCTTGAACCTCAGTCTCCTCCCGCCCCACCCCTCCCCAGGCAATGGGACCAACACCTGCTTTTGCCTCAACGCCTCGGTGTGTGAGGTCTTCCGGAAGGGCTACCTGATGCTCTACCCCTTCAGCACTGAGTACTGCCTCATCTGCTGCGCGGTGCTCTTCGTCATGTGGAAAAATGTGGGGCGCCGCCTGGCGGCCCACACGGGCGTGCGCCCCCCCAGCCTGCCCTTCCACCTGCACGGGGCCATCTTCGGGCCGCTGCTGGGCGTGCTGGCCCTGGTGGCTGGCGTGTGCATCTTCGTGCTCTTCCAAATCGAGGCCAGTGGCCCCGCGATCGGCCGCCAGTATTTCACCCTCTACTACGCCTTCTACGTGGCCGCCCTGCCTGCCATGAGCCTGGCGTGCCTGGCGGGCACGGCCATCCACGGGCTGGAGGAGCGGGAGCTGGACACGGTCAAGAACCCCACCCGCAGCCTGGATGTGGTGTTGCTGATGGGCGCCGCGCTGGGCCAAATGGGCATCGCCTATTTCTCCATCGTGGCCATCGTGGCCACCCGCCCACATGAGCTGCTCAACCAGCTCATCCTGGCCTACTCCCTCCTGCTCATCGTCCAACACATGACCCAGAATCTCTTCATCATCGAGGGCCTGCACCGCCGCCCGCTCTGGGAGGTGGTGCCAGAGGACCTGTCTGGAAAGCAGGAGACACAGTCTCCCCACAGAGGCTCCCTGATAGAGCTGGGCCAAGACCTGCGGCGGGCCTCGGTGGCTTACATACACTCCTACAGTCATCTCAACTGGAAGCGGCGGGCGCTCAAGGAGATCTCGCTCTTCCTCATCCTCTGCAACATCACAGTGAGTGGCTGGGGAAGGGCTGGTTGGGGAAGGGAGAGGTGGAGTCAGGGGGGACCCAGAAAGCCTCATTCAGGAAGGGCTGGATCAAGGTGATCTGCCTCTTTGCAATTAGCGTGATGCTGCTAGGGAGCAGAGAGTCAGCCGCCTGGCGCGAATCAGTGTGCCGAGCACGTGGTTAAGTGCTTCTCACAAAAGACTTCTATGCTCCAGAAGCTTAATGTCTAGCTAGGAAGATGCTAGAGGACCAGTTAGAAAATTATTGGGAAATTCATTATCCACCCAATTCAGACAAGAGAAAAAGTGCCTGATTATTTTTTCCAAAGAGCTCTTCGTGGGCTGGGCATCAATGCCTGTCATCCTAGCTACTCAAGAGGCTAAGATCTGAGGACCATGGTTCAGTGCTACCGTGAGCCAGAAACTCTATAAGACTCTTATCACTAATTCACCACTAAAAAAGCCAGAAGCGGTGCTGTGGCTCAAGTGGTAGAGCAGCCTTGAGAGAGAGAAATGCTAAGGTCAGTGCCCAGGTCCTGAGTTCAAGTCCAGAAAAAAAGAAAGAATCCTTAGTGGAAGATATTAATAATGATCACTTGGCTTTCGGGAGCTGTTAAGTCCCAGGCCCACCTGTGTAGCACCTCCACATGCACTTGAGTTATCTCAGTAACCCAGACCAGGCATTATGGTCCCCACTGCACAGACAAGCACACCCAGGGCCCACGCCCTGTGGGATCAATTCACAAACCCTGAGAACACACCTCAGATGTGAGCCCCCTGGTCCTGGCAGCGAATAACGAATAAATTAGCTCTAAAGTACATTAGGACTGCAGAGAAGGCAGTGTGGGGCTAGTGGCCAGGGCAGGCTACAGGAAAGGTGTGATCTAGGCCTGGAGGAATGCAAAACATTGACAACAGGAACCGTGTACCCGGTGGCTCACGCCTGTAATCCTAGCTACTCAGGAGGCTGAGATCTAAGAATCACGGTTCAAAGCTAGTCTAAGCAGAAAAATCCATGAAACTCTTATTTCCATTTAACCAGCATAAAGCAAAAAGCCAGAAAAGGAGGTATGACTCCACTGGGAGAGCATCCGGCTTGAGTGAAAAAGATAAGCAAAAGTATGAGGCCCTCGGCCGGGTAATCCCAGCTACTCAGGAGGCTGAGATCTGAGGATCACTGTTTGAAGCCAGCCTGGGGAGGAGAGCCTGTGAAACTCTTATCTCCCATAAATCACAGAAAAAGCCAGAGTGGCACAGTGGCTCAAGTGGTAGAGAGCTAGCCTTGAGCAAAAAGAAGCCCAGGGACAGTGCCCAGGCCCAGAGTTCAAGCCCCATGACTGGTTTTTAAAAAGTGCTAGGCCCTGAGTTTTCAAGCCCAAGTAGTGGTGTGTGTGCATGCGTGTGCATGCGCTCTCTCTCACATGCATACACACACACACACACACACACACACACACACACAATGGAACAGAAAGGTGGGAGGAGGTGTGGGAGGAGCTACAGGTTCTGGGGTCTCCTCCCTTATCCTCAGCATCTTGGAGTGTGAGAGAGCCCCTCCCCCACCCCACCCTCCCTCTCCCTCCCACACAGCTGTGGATGATGCCGGCCTTTGGCATACACCCCGAGTTCGAGAACGGGCTGGAGAAGGAGTTTTATGGCTACCGGGCATGGTTCACCATCGTCAACTTCGGCCTGCCCTTGGGGGTCTTCTACCGCATGCATTCCGTCGGGGGGCTGGTAGAGGTCTACCTGGGGGCCTGAGGATGCCCGAAGAAACCACCCCCTGAGAACTGGCAGTGGGGAGGCAGAGAAGAAGGTAGTGGAGTCTCGGCGGATGCTCAGAAGGCCGGACGACATCTTGGGGCTCAAGACCAAGGGCGGAGCCTGGACACCACACTTCGGATGCCCATGGCCAGGCCTGAGCGCATGCCTGCCCTGCGCCCCACCACACCATCCCAGAAGCCAAGGGGGCCCCCCAGGACGATGGCAGGGACCCCTGCTTCTGTGACCATCGGGGCTGGGAGGCGGGCAGGGAATGGAGAGGGAACTCCTCCCCTGCCAGGCCCCAAGGGCCTGGTCCAGCTTGAATCTAGCACATTCTAGCTCAGGGCCCGATGTGCAGAGCTCCGTGGACACACACCCCCCTCCACTCCCCACACACCCTATCTCCTAATGAACCCATTAATTAGCTGCCAGGCAGGGCTCAACAGCTCTCTCCCGCTGCCATAAACACTGTTTGTTTGATTGATTCCACCCAGGCTCCGTGGTATTTGTTCCCAGGGACAGAATCGCCACCCCGGGTGTGGTGGGAAAGGGCTGTGGCCCTGGGACCGTCTCTGGCCCCAGCCTCTGGCCACCCTGTCCCCTGGGTGGGAAGCCTGCCAGAGCCCCTGGGTGGGGCAGGAAGGGGACGGGTCACCTTGTCAGCCCATCCATCTCCCTGAGCCCGGTGCAAACCAGCGGGCCATGCCCAGGGCGAGGCCTGGAGCAGAGCCAGGGCCGGGCAAAGGAGTCTGGCCTGTGCTGGTCCTTGCCTGTCTCCCAGAAGCCAGGCTGTGAGGGGACATCCCCAGGGGTGGGGCCGAAGGGGGTCTCAGTGCCGTTTCTGGCTGCTGGGGGAGGCCCTCCCCCACACGTGGGCACTGGGTCACGCCCTCACCCAGCTGTGGGCTTGTTCCCCGCCCCCCTCCAGCCACAAACCCCAGGTTCCAAGGCGTGAGTCTGTGCTTCCACCTGAGAAAACAGCCAAGAGCGAGCTCCCAGGCACGGGGTCAAAGGTCCTCAGGGGACTGATGACTGTGGGGTGCAGAGTCCCCAGCTGGCTGAAGATAAGAGCCCCAATCTAGAGCCTCACCCCCCCCACACACCAAGCACAAAAGCACAAAAGCGGGGTGGGGGAGGGAGGCTTTATTGTGTAAAGTGGCCGATTGTACCAAGCAAAGATTGTACTGACACACATGGCGGGGGGGGGGGGGACCCCCATCATCAGGGCAGGGCCTAGGCAGCTGCCCACCCCTCCCAGCCCCCGTCAACGGGCACGACCCTCTGTGCACGCTGCAGCAGTGCTCCCGGTCTGGTCTTGCCTCAGTGGGTCCCCAGCCCTGGTCTCCTCACGCAGCTGACCCCCACTGCCCCTCCCCCAGCTCCCTGCCAGGGTGCCCCAAGGGGACCCCATTAGGGTGCACAGTCCTCCTGAGCACAGTGACTGACTGGGTGGCTTTGGGGAGTACGCAGCCCAGGAGTGGCTAGCACAGAAAGGGGGAGCCAGCATGGGCTCTGGGGGTATCCTGGAACCCCAGGAGCGCAGCCTGGGAGGCTGAAGGCAGAGCTGGGTCCCCCAGCCCCGGCCACAAGCAGCCGTGGGAGCCGCCACCCGCCTGCCCACTGCCCACGCGCTGCTGTTGGTCGTGAAAGCTGGGGATGGTGAAGGGCATCGGGGACCAGGCTGGGCCCCCAGTCCTGGCCCCTGCGGCTGTCTGTCCTCACACCCGCTGGATCTCAAAGAGTTTCACGTCAGTGTCGTACCAGATGGGCGGGTCCACGTTCCTGCAGTGGGAGCCGGGAGTGAGTGTGGGCACCGCCTTCCCAGAGGGGGCGCCTGGCACCCACACCGGCAGCCCGGCTACTCCCGAGGCTGGGATCTGAGGATCTCGGCTCAAAGCCAGCCCCGACAGGAAAGCCCAGGAGACTCTTGATCTCCAAGGAACCACCAGAAAACCCACAAGTGGCGCTGTGGCTCAAGTGGTGGAGCACCAGCCTTGAGCAAAAAAAAGCCAAGGGAGAATGTGAGGCCCTGAATATAAACCCTAGTAATGAAGGAAAGAAGGGACGGAGGAAGGGAGGGAGGGAGGGAGGGAGGAAGGAAGGAAGAAAGGGAGGGAGGGAAGGAGGGAGGGAGGGAGGAAGGAAGGAAGGAAGGAAGGAAGGAAGGAAGGAAGGAAGGAAATGAAGCCAGCAAGCTAGGTGGCAGCCAAACCAGCCAACCCCATCCTCACTCCCCACCGTGGACGGTGGTGATGTCCTCAGACGTGACCATGTGGGCATTAACCCCACTATGGGTGGGGAGCCCTCCCCCTGCTGGGCAGGCCCCCTGCCCCCTCAGGTAGACGGGGCGCACCTCAGGTAGATGACGCCCCACATGTAGGTGCGGAACCACATGGCGGTGCCCGAGTTGGCCTGGTACTTGCGGATGAGGATGGGGTGGGGCACGGGCAGCAGACCCACCAGGGTGCCATGCTGCAGGAACCTCAGGATCTCTGACTCGTCCGTCAGACCCCTAGGGGGAAGAGGGGGCTCCAGCACGCTCGCCTGGACGCGGGAGCCTCCCCCCCCACCGCCCCCCTGCGCCCGTGGGAGCCGGGCCTCAGACACACTTGTCGATGCAGATCTTCTCCACCTGGGGCACGAGCACCTGCAGCAGCCGCATGATGGTCTGCAGCGGCAGCTTCGACTTCCACGACACCACCTGCGAGGCGGGGGAGGAGGGACGGGGGGCCTTGACGCTTGACCTTGACCTGCTGGGGCTCAAGGTCAAGCAGATGTGTCCTCCCTGCACCCGGCAGGACCGTGAACACTTAGGAAGGTCATTCCCCCTCCCACCTGATTCATGTGGATGCTGTTCCTAGGGTCTGGGGGAGGGAGAGGGAGGGGAGCCCCTGGCCCCCCCTCTGGTATCCTCACCCAATCTGGCGTGGGGTTCCACTGGCCGCTGGCTGATGAGCTGGACGGCCGCCGCTGCCCTCGCCAAGCCTGGCTGGACTCCTGCTCCCCCAGGAAGGAAGGGAGAGGGGAGGGGAGGGGGTCAGAGGGCAGTGAGGTCATGGCACTAGCTGGGGGGGGGAGGGAGGAGGCTCAAGTTCAGCAGTGAGCCAGGCCCAGCCCTGCCACTTTGCCCTGGACCCCAGCCCAGCCCAGCCTCAGTCCACTGACAGGTTTAGGGCCTAGGGAAGGCGGGGTAAAGGCCAGTCTCCGATAAGGCTGATGGATGAGGAGGGTAACCTCCCCCTCTGCCCCCCCCCCGCAGCACCACTCTGAGGTCTCCCTGGTACTCACCCCCTTAGCCGGGCTGCCCTCGGGCGAGCTCTGCTGCCGCTCGGGCTCCAGGGACCTCAGGGTGCCATCTTCTGACACCTGGGACTTCTCCGTCAGCTTGTCGATGCCTGGGCAGGGCGTGAGGGCGTGGGGCCACCACAGTGAGCCCCGGGACGGTGCCACAAGGGGGTGCCAGCCACCCACCACAGGCCACTGGATCTGATTTCCCATCATGCCCACTCCGGTGCCCAACCCCCTCCCAGAAGCCCCTCCCCCCACCCTGTCCCCTTCCCAGCCCACCCACCTCCTCCTCCACCACCACTTCTGTGTGCGTGTGTGTGTGTGTGTGTGTGTGCGTGTGTGTGTGTGTGCCAGTCCTGGGGCTTGAACTCAGCCTGGATGCTGTCCCTGAGCTTTTTTTTTTTTTGCTCAAAGTTAGCACTCTACCACCTGAGCCACAGCACCACTCCTGGCTTGTTGGTGGTTTATTTGAGAGAAGAGTCTCACAGGGCTGGTAATGAGGCTCAGTGGTAGAGTGCTTGCCCAGCACACATGAAGCCCTGGGTTTGCTGCCTCAGCACCACGTACACAGAAAAAGCCAGAAGTGGTGCTGTGGCTCAAGTGGTAGAGTGCTAGCCTTGAGCAAAAAGAGGCTCAAGAACAATGCCCAGGCCCAGAGTTCAAGCCCAGGACTAGGAGAAAAAAAAAAAAGTCTCACAGACTTTCCTGCCCTGGCTGGCCTCAAACCGCCATCCTTAGATCTCAGCCTCTTGAGTAGCTGGGATGACAGGCAGGAGCCACAGGTGCCCGGCACAATCCCCACTTTGGGCCTATCCCCATGCTCTCAGTGTCCCCGGAGATCATGCCCAGCCCCTAACTGTGCCCGGAGCTGCCTCCCCTTGCGGGCCGCTGGTAGACCTGGGGTGGCCGCCAGGCTGGTCTTCAGGGTGCCCGGCTCTGCGGGGGCAGCGGGGCGGGAGCCCTCCATGGAGGCGCCCTCCTGGGAGCCGGTGCGGGACAGGGGCTCCGGGGTGCGCCGGCGCCGCTGCAGGGCCTTGTGGATGGTGGACGGGTCGGTAGGCAGGTTGGCCAGCTGGTGGAAGACACTGCGTTTGCGGATGATGGCGTAGACCAGGTTGGAGTTGCCTGTGGGAAGTGAGCATGGCCTTGGTCTTGGGGGGAAGGGGGGGAACCTCGCCTCCCCCATCGGATCTGGACTGGCTTTGGGGAGAGCTTGTCAGGACAGGGGGGGGGGACAGGGCTGGCACTGTCCTGTGTGCAGCTGGTTTTTCTTTCTTTCTGGGGCTTGAACTCTGGGTCTGGGCGCTGTCCCTTAGCTCTTCAGCTCAAGGCTAGCACTCTACCGCTTGAGCCACAGCGCCACTTCTGGTTTTCTAGTGGTTCATTGGAGATAAGAATCTCAAGGACTTTCCTGCTCGGGCTGGCTTTGAACTGTGATCCTCAGATCTCAGCCTCCTGAGTAGCTAGGATTACAGGCATGAGCCACCAATCCCTGGCTCAGAGCTTTCTTTCACATCACCTCCTGGCAACCCATCTGGGAAGACAGTACTATCCATATCAAGCCAGATACTAAGTATTTGGACTCCCAGAGCCAGGGAGGAGGTAGCAGGAAGAGAAGATGTATGTCTGTCCTCCAAGGCTCCCGGGGAAACATGCAAATGCTTCCTGGGGCCTTCAGAGTCCCATCTACCTCGGCAGACCTGGGTCAC